AAAAAGTTGGCAGATCCAGGTGCTTATTGCTCTCAGAAAGAGGTGACTGGGGCACACCAAGTGTTCCAGTGAAGCAATTCCTCCAGCTTTAATTTATCTATGTCTTATTTGACACTTTGGGATAACCATTTGACCTCTGCTTCTCCATCCCTATTCTCTTTTTTCTAATTTCTGACATGTCTTCCTAATTATTCCTGCCCAAACCTGTCTTGCTCGCTCTCTTCTCTGTTAAGACATTTTTCTAGAATATGTCTGTCTCTGTATTTCACTAAATTAATGCCTTCAAGTGCTTTCTTTGGATGTGTTTTATGAGACAGCAGCGAGTGTTGCTGGGCTGTGTTGCAGCGTCACCCTATGACAGAGGCAGAGCTAGCCATGTGTGGGCAGGGTGAAAAGTTGCCCTTCTCACATTGTCTACTTGCCTTAGCAGCCTCAGCAGCGTTGTTTTACCAAGAGTTCACTTTTAGCTTTGTACACAAACTGTTCACATTTAAACTATCTACATAACTGAGAGGGGAATTATCACCAGAACCACTGAGACCAGCACAAAGATGTAATCCACGTCCTCTGACATTCAGCACACCTACACACAGAATCACTGGCACACGGGTAGTGGGAATGTGAGAGACCCAGTGTGAATGCTGCCTTGTGCAGACACAGACTCTGGGCTCCTGCAGATGTTGACATTCAGGCTGCAGCACACTTTACCTCTGTGCAAGTCTTCCCAGGCCAGCCCACTCTGAGAATGGGAGTCTTCAAGGAGTGTCCAACTAAGTGTAATTTTGCTCTGAGTTAGAGGAGTCCTGCTGTGGCCCTGCCATTTCACTGGGAATTGACAGCACAGCCCAGCTGGCTGCAAAAGGAGTGTGTGGGCAGAGGCTACAGGGTCAGCTGGGCATTGAGTGAAGAACCAGTGAGAGACGAGAGAGAAGGGCAGAATGGTGAAGAGCTGTGAAGGTGAAATCACTAAGTCTGAATGCAAGAATGGGGAGAGGACAGTGCCTGAGGAGAAACCCAAAGGGAGGCAGATATGGTCAGTGATGGAGGCATAGGTGATGGGGATACACAGGGTGTTGGTGCATGGAAGGATGAGGATGGTTCTGCATTTGGCCATCTTACAGCTGCATCAGGACAGGGACAGGAGAAAAAAAAAGCCAGAGGTTTGAAAAATTGTAAGAGAAAATGAAGGATTTGGGTCTAGCCTGGATGTGTGCAGCAGAAGAAAAGCCACAGGCAAAGAATCCTCCCAGACTAAACTACTTTTTTCAGTGGGAAGTCAGGGCTGTATCTTAGGCAGCTTTCCCTTTCCACTAGGGAAAACAACAGACATACTCTGAGCACTCTCACATTTTATATCTGGTGTTGGTGTTTACTTTAGTGCCATTCCTCACTACTTCTTGTCAGCCAGGAGGCAGTGGCCTCTAAATTGGGAATGTCAAACGTTGCTGACCACACTATGGTTTCTTTAGCATGAGCAGGTGCTAGTGGCTCTCTGCAGGCTCATGGATGCCAGAAACTAGGAGAAAGTTTTGTTTTTGATCTCATTTTCTTCCTAACACTCCTGTAGCTGCCCCAACACTATCCTGCCAGTAGTGGCAAAAAGAGATAAATTTGTGTTCAAAATGCAGGCAAGAATTCAGATGCAAATAATAAGGGAAAAAATATAGAATGGTTTTGGTTGGAAGGCACCTTTGAGTTCATCAAGTTCCAGCTACCCTTGCCGTGTTCAGGAACACCTTCCACCAGGCCAGCTTGGTCCCAGATTCATCCATCCAGCTTCGCCACTTCCACATCCACATCCACAGCTTCTCTGGCCAGCCTGTCTCAGGCTTACCATGCTCACAGCCAAGAATTTGCTCTTAATAGCTAAGCTGCATCGCCCCTCTTTCATTTTAAAGCCATTCCTCCTTGTCCTATATGTACACAGTTTTGTAATAAGTCCATCTCAGCTCTCTTGCTGCCACTTTAAATACTGGAAGGTGCTGTCAGGTTTCCCTTGGGCCTTCTACAATTTGAACAATCCCAATTCTCTCAGCCCATTTTGTAGGAATGGTGACCCAACCCCCTGATCATCCTTGTGGACCTCCACAATTCCATTTTGACATGCTGCTCTACTGACTTGTTCAGTTTGTGCCAGCTGTTTACAGGTTGTTCAACAGCGAGACAAAGGCATCAAATAAAGATTGTTCTGTTCCTGTGGAAAAAAACATGGTGACATTTTTCTCCATAGAATTTTTAAAGTTTGTCTAAAGCAGGACTTCTTGACAATTTCTCGACAACCTGGGGCTAAACTCTGTTACAGCAATTTATTTGGGATCTGCTTAGCAGATATATTTTAAAAGGTCATATAATAGTGGAATATCTTTCTGGGGCCAGACAGAATTGTCCCCCCAGGCAAGCAGTTGGAGAGCTCTAGCCGCACTAAAAAAAGTGAAATAGAATGCAAATGCTGTGTTCTTACATGTTGAGTTTTGGGAAATGTTTTAGCAGCAAAGAAGGAATTTTCTTACTTTCAAAGTTAATAAAATATCTTATTTTCCTTTAGGAAAAAAGTATTTTATTTTTTTATTTAAATTTATTTCCTCAACAAAAATGCCAGCTTCAGTAGACTTAGCAAAACAATTGAAAAGCCTGATTTCCTCTTATAACTTTTACATTTTTACATTGCTTTAAACCTGAAGGTCAGGAGGGTGGGAAATTTTGAAAAGCAACGTAACCTACCTGTGATAGTTAGCTACCTGTGCCTCTGTTATTTCTATCCTTCTGGAGGTAGTGGATGTGGAAGATTAGTCAGCATGTCTGTCTGAGACCAACAGTCACAGCAGGCACTCAGCTCTATGGAAAACCAGGAGAAATCCAGAGATTTGACACCTGGGATCCCAAACTGACTGGACCTGGCATTTGTGTCTCAGAAGCAGATGAAAGGTGATTAAGGTGACTAAGACCAGCAATCTTTAATTCCTTCTTTTGTTTGTCTGTGTGCTTGAATCAACACTTCCAAAGGAACACCTTCCTATTCCAGCCTTCAATATCCCACAGTTAATTTTGGAGTTCACTTCACCCAACAAGCTGATGTTAGTTTCTCCAAATAAAACTCAAGAAAATTTCTGCTAAGGCCCCTCAGCTCCTGCTAAAATCTCAGCCTTGACCTCTGAAGCAGCCCCAAATCCCTGCCCACAAATGGGATGCGTGTCGTGTCCTTGTGGGGCCTTGTAGCCATCAGCCTTTGAACTGAGTGGGATAAGGCTCACAGCTGTCCAGAAGGCATCTCCATTTAGTGCTCAGTATGTGGAGAACTATGCCCAGAATTCCCCTAAACACAGATGACAATTTCACTGCCAAAGGTCCATTTCTGATCTGTGGATCTCCTTTGAGTGCCAGTTTCAGTGTCAGCTAGAGCTGTGCTGATCTGCTCAACTTGTTGAGATTTATATATATATATGTATAATTTGTATATAAAAAGCAGGTGGGCTCTGGATTCATTGGGGCTAATTCATAGTTTTGAGTTCTAATTTGAATTTGCCAACTCCCTCTGCATGCCAGACTCTTTGTCCTTCACTCCTCTAGTGCTGGAGAGCGCAGCAGCCGAGAGACTCCTGGTGACTGGGATGGCTGTGTCCCTCTCATCAGGGGTCAGGGATCCCTCAAACAAAAGGGAAAACAGCCTGTTCAGACCCTCTGTGGATGGGCAGGAGAAACTGTGCATAGAGAAAGGGCACAAAACTCTTGGAGTACTCTCTGACATGCACCGTGGGTAGCAAGGGATGAGGGAAGAGGTCTGGGAGGTGAGCTGTTCAGGAGGGGAAAGGGGAATGCAGCATGGAAAGAAAGCACAGTGTGGAGATTGAGAGTGGTTTTAAAATCAAATGAAAACTCCAATGAGTCTTAACTCTGGAAGTTTGCCTGAGAGACAGAATCCAGATTAGCTGCAAGTAACAGGAAAAGAAAAGCAATAGTTTGATCTGTTGCACTTCCCAGGGAGGGTATGCAAGAGGTGCAGGATGGCAGAGAATCAAAAATTACAGACCCCAGTGGTGGGCACACGGCTGTGAGAGATCCCCTGTCTACCAGGTGTGATGGGATCAGATGTGGCAGGGTCCCCCTGCTGCCACACTGTCAAAAGGGACCCTTAAGAGCCCCAGCTTTGCAAAGGGTGGTATCCCAGTGAGAGCCCATGCATGCATCACTCCATGGCTGCTGGCTGGCTGAGCCCTCCCACCGTGGGTGCAGCTCAGGGTGTCCCTGCCTGGGGCTCACAGGCAGTTCCAGGCTCTGCTCCTTCTCTGCTCCAGCTGGTGAAGTGGAGCCAGCAGTGGGGCCAGAGCTGTGGGAGCCAGGTGCAGCTTTCAAACCCAGCCCCTTAGCACAGGCTGGCAGCTGAAGCACAGGGTTATCTTGGCCCATCTCTTATCTGGTGGGGTGCTGCCTCAGGTCCAGTAGGTCAGAACATGTCTGAATGTGATCTACCAAGCAGCCATCACTCCCTAGGAGAGCAGGCTCTCAGCAGATGCTTGGCCCTTACCCCTTTGCAGTCTAATGTATCACAGCTGCAGGAAAGCTGACCCTACAGCTCTGCCTTCCCTTCACCCCAGGGCCTGCTTGTCCTTTGCCTTAGGTACAGAAATTTCCCTTCTGCAGCATGATCCCTCTGCTAATCTCACGATTTCACCTATGCCCATTTGCTCCTCCTCCATTTTGCTACAGTTGCTGTAGTCTTTTCTGCACCCTCCCCACCTCCCTTTACAAGTGGGGCATTTTCTGACCCCACCAGGGTCTGCAGCATCTTGCTGCTGGTGAGATGCAAACCTTGACCTCTAAGCAGCACACACAACTCTGAGCATGAGACAATCAGGAGAGGAAGAAGGAAGGGGGAAAGTATTGACAGGAGTAAATTGAGAGAAATCATAAAGCTTAAGCAGAAAGAAAGCAGTTTGAAAGGTAAAGTATTCAGAGAAAGCCCTTTCCTGGATGAATCTAATTGTTTTGTTATCTTTACCCACCAAAGCATTTACTTTGGTTTGTCGCCCGATCCACAAACACTTTCGAGGAGATGACATTACCGAAAGGCAGGAACATCTGCATCAGCTCAGCATCCCCAAACTCCTGGGGCAGATGGTAGATAAACAGGTTACAGCCCTCTGGTCCTATCAAGAGAAAAAGAAGACCCATGAATGAAGAGAAATAGGACACGAGAAAGCACACGGTGGAGGTTTACTTTGGCATCTTTTCTCTCTGGCTGGTGAGTGGTCACGCTAGGAAGCAGCCTGTAGACTCTCAGAGGAATGGACAAAGGAGAAGATCATGAACTCAAAAAGCCACCTAGAGACTATGGTAACTTCAATAGCTTTCCCAGGACACCAGGATAAAATCTAGAGAGAGAGGAATGCACCAGCACACGTGGCCATGGAAAGAACAGAACGGAGGAGTAAGAACGCAGAAAATGAAAGAATATCGTTCATAGATTTTATTTGTTGTTCATAATCTTATTTAATCTGCAGAGTTTTGGATGACCCACACTATCCCTTGCCTCTTCCCAGTGTATGCATGCAGAAGTTTCAATATCCTTCTTGAATCTGTGTGATGACAATAGCATCGCACAAACGATGATAATGAGCAGAAAGATATGCACAAACCCACAGGCTCATCTTGTTCTGTAGAATTTTGCATTCATCCCCCCAGCTCAAATCAGCCTGAAGGCTCCCACAGATCTGGACAGTTAGGCCATCTCCTCCATTCTAGAGCATTCTGCAGGAGATATTTTAGGTGGATTTAAGTCCAAATGACTAGACAAGATGGACTGGCTTTTTTTGCCTCAATCCTGTAACATATACTCTTACCAATTTCAGAGGGTGTTCTGGAAAACAACCAGAGAGACGTCTTTAGCTGGAATATGAAATTAAAGTAGAGACCCTCAAAAAATATTCTGTTGAAACTGTATTTTGGGGCAGAAGAGGGCAAACCTGCCTCTTGTCAAATAGCCTGTAATATAAATTTTCAACCTGACTTTTTATTTTTATGCATGGGGTCCTTGAGCAACAGTCAAAAAGGTGTGTCCAAATGGTTTTGTTAAAGAAAATTAAACATTTAAAACCTTTGCAGTGTTCAATAGCAGAAAACTGTATAGTTTGATGAGACAGGGATTGTTTATTTCATCATTTTATTTCTAAAGGTACTTCCAGCTGCTGCCCAGCTCTGCACTGACCTCGACAGGTAACTCCAGCTCTGCTTGACTCAGAGAGACCGAGATGAAGGGGATACATTGTGTGCCCTTCGCCAAAAGGGTTGGAGGTCAGAGAGAAGGAGGGTTTCCCCCTTCCCTCTCGCCCATGTGCCTGCAACCCTGTGACCTGACTCAGTCAACTTTCCCTTTTTTACGTCTGGGGCACAGTTTGGGGATGGAAAGGGTTTTTTAATACTCTCGTTTTCTTCATCAGGGCATAATTACAGTGTCATAACACAGCAAATTACAACTTTGCCTTTCCTGTTAGGGAGAGGAGTTCGTCTAGATGCTCCCACCTTTTATTACCCATTACTCATCCCCCCGGCTGGCAAGAGAAGTACGGCGAAGTCAGGATTCTGGCAGATGCCCATTTAAAGCTCATTAAAATTCCTGGGCCTCAGCATGATTGAAGTCACAGGCTCTCCACATTTCCTTTTGGATTAATGGAAAATGAAGCCCTAATGAATATTTGCTAAGCACAATTTTCCCCACTAATTTGCTAAAAGGACTGTCATGAAGGAACAGCTGATCCTTTGCATCTTGTGCATTTCCTAAAGGTCATGGGGATGGTAACAGGGTTTCTTCCAAATGGGGGGGATAGTGGTATAGTGGGATAATTAACTAATTAGGCACCCGGTCATCTGCTTAGCCAAATTACTTTTGAACCTCAGTGGCCCATAATCAGGCTCCCCTGTTTCGTGCCAAGCTTTTCCAGCTTCCCCCCACCTCCCGTCTGCATCTTCTCACTGGGCAAGTATCATTTTTCCAATCCTTGCTGCCATCCATTTCTGCACAATGCAGAGTTATTGGCATAATAAGTTAGATATGAAACAGTCTGAAAGTGTTAAACAAACACTAACCCCCTTAGGTGTCTGTTAAAATTGAGAAAATTCTGCCCAGGAGCAGACCACAGTCCAGAATAGCAGGGAAAAAATTCATTCCTTCATCTGAACGTGCCCCAGAGCACTTCTGCTGTGGGATTTGAGATTCACATTATAATAAAATGGGTAAAATCTTGGCTTTGCTGCAGTCGGTGGCAAAATTCCCACTGACATCACCAGAGCCAGCAGTTTTCACTGTAAAACTGGCCAATTCTTTCAAAAATACCAGCTGCATTTCCTGCGGTCTTGGATGTGCTGTGCATGAGTAGAGATTCTGCCTGTGTGTGCTGAGAAACACCTACCAAGGCATAAGGCAGACCAGGAGGCACACAACTTTAACTACACCACCTTTAGCCTGGGCTCAAGGGGAGAACAACGCTTGGTTCACCTTGAAATCAACTTTTCCTCACACAACTCAGAGACCGAAAGGAAGAGACCAGGGAGGGTGTGAAAAAGCAGGGACCATTCTCAAAGACCAGCTGGGCTCTAAAATGTGCCTGAGGAACCTGCACTGTGGCTTTCCCTACCGACCCAGACATTCAGGACTGAACTCATTTTGTTTACAGCTATAGAGGGGTTTTTTGTAACTTCCAATGCTGAAAACGTCACTTGTTTCTGAGGAAAAAATGAACAAAACAAACCAAAATGGGGTAGTTTGATTTGTTTTGTCACCCTCACATATGAAATTACTGCCTTTAGAATTTAACAAGCGATTTTTTGTTAAACCTGTAAGTTACCTGTCTGTAATTTTTTGTTAAGCCTGTAAGTTACCGTCCCAGCCAGAGCCCTTGGTAAAGAACTCAAAAAAGAAGATCTGTCTTCTTCAGCCCTCCTAGCTTTTTTTGGATATGTTTTTGCTTGTTTCCAGTTAATTTGGGCACTCCATAGAAGGCTGTGTGTTTGTGTATATGGCTGTCTTGTTGTACACTTAGGTATATTTTTAAGTAACCAAAGACAAGATCATAAGGAAGAAATTCTTTACTGTGAAGGTGGTGAGGTTCTGGAACAGGTTGCCCAGAGAAGTTGTGGATGCCCCATTCCTGATAGTGTTCAAGGCCAGGGAGGATGGAGCTCTGAGCAGCCTGATCTTGTGGAAGGTGTCCTTGCCCATGGTAGGGAGCTTAAATGTCCCTTCCTACACAAACAATTTTATGATCCCATTTGCTCATCTCAGAATGCTCTAAAGATCTTAGTCAGTTCTCAGTGCACAACTGCAACAAGTTCTGAGGGGCTTGCTCAGGATACTGGAACAACAAAAAACCCACAGCTGGTATGGAAAAATCCGTATAAAGATTTCAACTCTCTTTTTGGAGAAAAAGTTCTTGTTTTGGACAGAGTTGATGTATTATTGGAGATCACTGTACTTGGCAATTCAGGGCTGAATGCAATAATAAAATTATTTATGACAGGCTTTACTTTTGTTTTCAAAAGGGCTGTAATATATCTTGAAATCTAAGCCCCATGACACATCATCAGAAAAAATGAAGTTTCATTTCAACACTGATGTCTGCCATGGCTCTTGGTTTTATGGCATGTATACATTTTATGACATATATACATTTCTGTTCATTTATACACAAGAAGAACAGTTAGCCTTGATTTGGACAAAAAAAAACAAGGAAAGCTTTAAGGACTGTACAGTTTATGGATGTTCTATAGATTACAGGCAAACTGTGCTGGATAATGGCAAAACCAGTGATCTAGGGCACAGAACCACATGGTGGGTTCAGCTTGGCTGGGCCTGAGCTGAGCCATTGCTCTGCCCACGCTCCTCACACCTGAGCTCATTGTCAGTTTTTTAGCACAGGGGCAGCTGCAGACCCACCTTCAACACAAGTGAAGTCCATATACCTGTTCTGACCTCAGTTACCCATCACTGCCTCCCAGCACAGTGTAATGAGGAAAGGCTGTGATGAGGCTTGTTTTCCAACAGTAATTAAACTGGGCTGACCCACGAGGTTGTATGAAGTCAGGCTGCAGCACTTTGATTAGCTGCACACCTCACCTCTACAGCAAACACCCAGAGGATGGAAATTCATTGCTTCTCCTGCTTGCCCAGAATGTTTGAACACAGCGCAGATAAGAGTCGCAAACTTGCATCAAGGAGTTGCACATCCTAGTTTCAGAAACTACACCAAGATGAGTAATACAGACTTAAAATTACCTCCAAGTTTTGTGTGCTTGACATGGCCTGAATCAAGATTTTATCTTAAGCTTTGATGGTTTTGGATCAGTTCCACCCTATGCACCCTGTCAGCTGCCAGCAGCCTCAGTGCTCATGTGGCAGTAATGACTCATCTCTACAGGAATCTTGCAGCAGCAAAACGTCCCCAGGCTTGTTATCCAACTGGGATCCAGGAGGGGAGAGCTGAGATTGTCATTAACAATGTGATCACTGATGTTATTGTGGTGGTAGGGCTGGTTCACTAACAAATCAATGTTTGTGCACATCCTTGCAAACCTAAAATACTCCTCTCAGCGCTAAGCATTATTGTTATTATTGAGTTCCCTCTTGCTGTGTTTTCCTGCTAAAGGTTAGAGATGCTTAAAGGTTTTGATCCTCTGCTAAAGGGGAGTGCTGTGCTTTACAGATATTGCTCTAGCAAGAAGCAGAGAAAGACACAGCCTCTCAGCACTGCAGGAAAATGAGGAACACTGGGAATGGCAACCTGCACTGGGCTGGTGGCTCACCCCAGTGTGCCCCAACCATCCCCATTCTCAATGCCAGCTGCTTACGGGAAGGAGCAGAGTCATGAGACAGCTTGTCCACTGGGTGACACTCACTCCTAACCCACAGAGACACACCATGCCTGCTGAACACAGGGGTCTGCAGGCTCTTCAAGGCAGGCACCACAGCTTCCCCCTGCTTCTGGTGGCTCCTGGCACAGCGCTGTGCTGAGCAAGGATCTGCTCGCCATTTTGTCCTGTGCTTAATCTAGCCCCAGTAAGTAATAAAAAGCAAAGTCCTTCAGCATGGGGGAAACATCTCTGTAATGATACGATAGGTCTGTGCATCTGTTCTCACAGCAGGGACATGTACTAGAGCTAATCAGGAGCTGGAAGTTGTGTTCCCCAGGAAATTCTGACATAGGAAAAAAAATTAATTCCAAATTAGATGGAAATGACGACATTTCTAATTTTCTTACAAAATGAGATTTCTCCCTCAAAGTAGTTTTAGATCATCAGAATGTTTTAGTCTGATGGTGTAATCTAGATTCATTTCATTTTGACTCTTACACTGTATTAAAATATTAAATGTAATTACATACATATAATAACACATATAATATAGAATATGTCTGAATTAGTGATCTAATAGAGGATAAAATTTAAAATGTAACTATTTAAAATGAGAGTTGCTAAGCTGGAGCACCTGACTTTAATGTCTCACTCAGGCAAGCATGCCCTTCCTTCTTGACAAAAGGGAGCAGCTCTCCTTGGAGGACAGCTGGAATGGAACCACCCAAGTGGGCTGCCTCTGAGGATTCCACAGCTCCCCACTGACTGTAAAGGAAATGTTACATGGCACAGTTTTCTTCCAAGGCATTTACATGCAAAAATGGTAGATTCACCTCTCCTTACTCTTCATGTCTTCCGTGGATCCATCCAGTCCTGTGGAGCAGATTACTCAGGCAACTCTCACAGTCATTGAAAAGAAATGGGAACTGTAACTACAACTTTTTGTCATCCTGATATAGGGATTGTGCACTGCAAGGTCTGACTGATGTTTTCAGTTTATCAGTGGAGGCTGAAAGGCTGAAAGGACTAGATCAGCTACTCTAAATAGCAAATCCTTGTTCTCCAAACAGCAGGTGTCTGAAATTATGTTACTGCCTTTTAATGAAGGGCCCCTTGTGCTTTGTGTCCCGTAAAGATCTTTATTCCAATAGAACTGCATTTTTATCTGCATTCTTGTTGCTTGTCTCAAACAGAGGCCCTCGCTGGATGTTCATGGCTATGTTGCTAGCTGGTCTTTCCATGTCCCATGCACACCAGCATGCTTTTCCTCCCAGGGCACTGAAGAGATCTCACCAGCAGTTCCCCACATGGGCAGCCCACCACAGTACTGCTGGTGACAGTGACACCATGCCACATATGGAAATGGAGAATAACTCAGTGGACCAGGCATTCAAAGCAATTGGGTGTTTCCCCTCCTCTAGGTGCATGAGGAGGGGAACCACTGAGATGGGGATGGCCTGCTGGGGTCACAGAAGAGGAGGACATCACTTTTACTCACCTTCTCTCTGCTGCTGTGGGATCATAGGAGGTGGCTGTGGGAACGCTTGGCTGATCTGGCCATAAGCAGCAGGATAAGCAGCTAAAGGGGAGAGAAAGGGAAAAGAAAAAGAAAGGACAGATTTCAGTGTTGGGAAGCAAGGGGCTTTCACTCCAAACCACCACACACACCAAGCCAGACGTGGGCTTTGTCCCTGTGTTTTGGCTCTGTGAAGGGGCATCCATGCAGCCTGAGGTGAGGTGTAAGAGCCATGGTGGTGCTCCAGGAGGTGCCACAGGGCCTGAAGCTCCCTCCCTCCCCCCTGCCTCCCTCCAGATCCATCAGCAGAGACACCATGCAGTGTAAACGGGGGGCTCTGCTGAGACCACTTCCAACAGAGATGTCCAACCATTCCACGTGGTGACAGGAACACATTCACTGATGAGCTCAGAGCAGAGCTGCCCACACTGACACCTTTCCCCACCTCACCTCTGGCATCCTGATTAACTACCATGCTCACAAAACCAGCTCACATGTGTGTTTTCCCCTTCATGTGCCCACAGGCTGTACAGGCACAGTTGCACACACACTCTCAGATACACATTTTCTTTCATGCCTGTAGAGACTTCCTCTCTCTCACACAAACACAGTGGAAACAGTGAGCAGCAATTAAACAATTTTCCCCATCTCAGCTCCCCCACCAAGCAAACAAGGGGAGCCATTCACTACCACAGATGGTAGATGATGTGCCGTGCTGCTAAAAATACAGAGTATGGGTCGCCTGCAAGACCAGAGAGAAGAGGATAGGGGCCATGTGTGTGCAGAGGGGTTAATTAACAGCTCAAAGGGCTGAGTTGCTTCCCATCTATCAAACCTCACAAGCAATAAATGACAATAACTAAAACACCGGCAAATGAAGCCCTACATGGAGAATTAAATTAAGTTTCCAGATACAGCGCTGACACGAGATAATAGCCATTCCTCAGCAGGAACCCATGATTGCTCCAGTTACCACAGGAAATAATGACTTTGGGGTGGCAGCTTCCTCACAATGCTGGCCGTGGACACCTCGCGAGGGGAGGCTGAACACGGCGGGGTCGCGGTCTGCACCAGGTCACTTTGGCTGGTGTCAGTCCATCAGCTGCAAAGGAGCTGCTCAGCACACAGGGCAGCTCGAGGGGAGGCTGAGCCACAGGGAGCTGTGCTGGAATCTGCTGGGAGGCAGGGGGATGTCTGGGTGGCTCCTAAGTAAGGCTCAGAATGACTGAGTGGGGCATGGCCAGTAGACAGACCCTAAATAAACAGGTGTGTGCAGGCATTCCGTGCCCTGCCCAGCTCTGCAGGGTCTGGCTGCCCATCTTCCTGCTGCAGCGCTCAGGAGACCTGGTTTAGAAAGTGGCCTCCAAAGCAGTGGCCTGATTTTGCCCTTGTGCACTGTGCTAAGGCAGACCAGACTCAGTTCTATTGATGAAGCTTCACTGGGGTGCAGGTGAGTGGGAACCTTTCCATGGGAAAAGTAGGAGGCTGCCTCCTTTGACGCCCTGGATGTCTTGATGTTTGTGCAAATTGAATCAGGGAGTCTGTGGCCCCCAGCTTGTCCTTGTATCAGTAAAAACCTCCCTTCCCTCGGCCCCCTGAGGTGTGTTCAGAGGGTAATGGCTTTAGAGAAGAGAAAGGTTTATTGGGAGAAAGTGTTAATACTAACGACCTGCGTACTGCTGCACTCCAGCGTAGGCTTGCTGCAAGGGGTCTGCTGCAGTGGGGCTCTGTGCTGTGGAGACACAAGAGAGACAAGGAATTAAGGGGTTAAAACATGATAGGCACTCTCCCCTTATCTTTTATCATCAACATGTGTTATGAAACAGACAGACCCAGGGGCTGAGGGTTGAAGAGGAGCAGCTCACTTGTGCTATGGACAGGAATGCAGAGAACCCCCCAGGATGGCTAAGGGGGTTCTGTCCCCCAGCCATCACCCTTTGAGACGTTGGAGCAGAGGACAAATAAACCTCTCTCCTCATTTCCCAAGCTTAAATTACGGATCTGCACTGATCATGCAGAGTTTTGGCACTAATCAACCCCAAAGAACCCTCATCTTAAGCCAGGACTAACACTGTGCTAGGTGCTGTGCAAACTCAGATCTCAGTGACAGCTACAGTCACATGAAACTTTCAATCAGAGCAGAAAACAACAGGGGCATAGCAGGAGGAAGGAGAAGAGAACAAAGCAATGGCTCCTGTCATCCCCACATCCCTTCGAAGGACTGTGTTGCTGCCAGGCAGCCCCCAGTGAGAGAGAAGAAGCTGCATGGAGGGGACGGGGACACCACTTGTCTGCTCCAGGGAGGATGCTGTGAATCTCTGCATAAGGCATGCAGTCTCTTGCTGGCTTCAAAGTGTATTTTCTCTCTTTACAAGTGTGCATTCCTCCCCACTAAAACTGTTTATTTTTGTGAAACTTTGAAGTCTTGCTCAAATACAACCAAAGCTAGTTAAGAAATTCTTTTTTGTCTTTTTCTCCTTTGGTTGATAGGGAGAAAAAAGAGAAACGTGTTGGATAAGCTCTTTCTTTATCTGCATCAATAAAAAATTTAAAGCAAAGCTTGGCTAAACCTCCAGTCCAAATGTCACCTTGGCCCTAATATTTCACTTCTTCTAATGAGTTTAATTTGTATTTATTGGGACTGCACAGTTCTACATTTATGCAGTCCCTCCAACCTATTCCTCGTAGGATGATCCCTTAGGGAACTGCCACTTTCCCACATCCATCCCACCTTTTTTCCTTCTTACCCGCACAGAGGTGTGGCTGGAGGCAAGGCTTGGAGGATGCAAAGGTGGGGGCCTCTTGGAAGGAAATCTGGTGCCATACACCTATCCAAGGAAAGACACTGACTGTATGGCAAAGTGTGGGGGAGGTTGTCATACGTGAGTATTACATACCCAAGGAACACGGATAAAGTGTTTTCTTACAAATAGAAATACCAGCTTGAAACTTTACTTTAAAGATCACCATTGGTCATGATGGAAACTTGCAAGGTCTTACACTTTTCTCCCAAAGTACAAGGAGGAATGGTGAAACGACCAAATTTGAGGTGGCAAACTCAATTAGCTGGCTAAGGCTTGGAAGCTCCTGTTCATTATGGATATGACTAGATCATGTGGACTTTGAGGCTGGGGTAGTCATAGGAAGAAAAATGGGATTGCAGTCTTTGCTTGGAATGGTTTCCCAGCTGACTTTTGGCAAGTCCCTCAATATATGTGTGTGTGAAATAGGAAAGCACTGTCTTACTGTAAGGATTTTAATTTTTTGCAAAACAGTGTGAGGAGAATACATTAAAACCTGTGGGAGGTCAGTGGCAGGCAGACTAGAGATTCTACATAACATTTTTAAAGAGCAGTTGTTCCAGGAAAATAATGGAGGTAATGTTTGGAAAATACAATTTTTTATTTATTTTTTTACTTACTACTTTCTTCTTGAAGAAGAAACCAACTAAAGTCTATTCTTTTTAACTTCTGCTTAAAACTGTTTTCCTCAAAAACCAGAATATTGATCATTTTGCTCCACAAGAAAACTGAACAGCTATGAAAAATTGAGTAATACATCAGTTCCCTCACCCCTTTAGGAGAATGTATCATAATAACTTAGACCCTTCAAGTCCTGTCAGGTAGAAGATGTCTCCTGAGAAAGGTGAGGGAACCTTTGTTGAGAGAAGCAAATCTTTTTTAGCTATGGTTTTACAGACTGCAGTGAAGGAGAGGATCTGCCATCTCTGCCTCAAAGGCAACTGCGCTCCTTTCATTGCACAGAAGAGGAAATTGTCTCTGCTGTTCAGGAAATGCATTTACAGTAATTCCTTCCTCCCCAGGTGAGGCTGATTTGGACACGATTGTTCTGCCCCCTGACCTGCTGGTAATTAGCAATGGCTGGCACTTCACTGACACAAGAGAACTCATTGAGCTGGACCTGTCCTGTGGTCCTTTCCTTTATTCCTGGCCTTATCTGGGCATGTGTGGGAGATTCCTGACCTCCCAGCTATAGCTGAGTCTTATCTCCAGGACATGACCACCTGGCTCACTGCAGAGCTGCTCTGCTTATCCCACCTGTGGATATCTCACCTGCCTTTGGAACCACACTCTGACCATCAGAACTAAGGTACACTGCTTAGGAAATATATGATGAGAAACCCCAACCTTTAAGGTTAAATATTAGAGCTGGTAAATAATTTGTTTAAAGTGTTTGGGATAACAGGCCATGAAATGCAGCCTTTCTGCCTTCCGCACTAAAGCTTTCACAGTTCATTATTTTTCCAAGTATTTATGACTTGCTACCAAGGGTAATATCCAACTGAGTGTTTCTCACAGGCTGTCTTGTGACCCAGGTCATGCATGGGGTTTTCTCCTGGCTTACAGCACAGGCAAGCCAGTGGGAAGGTGACAGTTAGCTCTGCTCCAACCTGGGAATCCCTTCCTCAGGGGAATAGAATATGTTAACTATCTGTTCTAACACACAGGGCCCTGACTGACCCGACCATCCCTGGATGCTCTTGAAAGGAGAGTTGGAAGCACCTCTGGGGGGGCAGCAGCTCCTGGCTTATGGCTCTATTTTCCTGTAGTCTCATACCCTGCCTTGGCCATTTGGGAAGAGCCAAAGTTGTGGTGAGTCACAACCAGCAGGAATTTAACTTGGCACCTCTTAAAGTGATGACTTCTCTCACTGAAGTCATGCCTTCCTTGGCTTGAAACCTGTGTTTACCCAGCAAATGAAGGTGTGACTTCAGCATAGTGGACATGTCTGTGCTGGCCCATGAGAGCAGGGACACAGACTCCAGGGCTGGCTGGACACCCTTGCAGGAAGCCAAGGCATCCTGGGCAGCCACAAGCCCATCCTCATGCTGCTGCTCACCCTGCCACATGAGTCAGACCCAGCAAAGGGCATAACTGCCAGTGCTCCCAGCATGGATGAAGCCAACAGCTGGTATTGATCCAGGCATCTCAAGACACAGATTGTACATTTGGGAAAGTTTTGGCCATGCTGTGTTCTGTAAAGTGACAGCCCTCTTACTTATTAATGACCTATGAGGAGTTCATCAGGGGCTCAGTTATGTGAGGAGTTCACAATTCACAGTCGACCTACCACAGGGGTTAGGTGTGGCTGTAGCCTACCACTTGCTAAAATTCAAAGTGATTGGGAGTTATGAGTATTTTCTGTATCTCAGCACAAGGAGACCATCAGGTGGGGTTGCTCTGCTCTTCCATAAGGTACACACAATTTCACGGGGTGGCCTTCACATAGATCATTAGTGGGAGACTTAACCTGCCTCAGTCACCCTTTCTCCCCATCCAGCTTACCAGCCTTCTTTGATACTGAAAGTATTGTTTGAACACAAACATACAGGGCTGGGAGAACACCTCGGCTGCTCTGCGTGCTGTCTGTGCCAGGGCGCAAGCCCTCAGTGGCACACAAGGTACACAGGTGTATAAAGGTGATAAGAGATATAGATGAGACACATAGATATCACAGAGCACCTCACAGCAGCTTCTGGACCAGCACCAGTATGTCTCTAAGTTGTATCATCATCCACAGACCTTGGATGTGCTGACTCTGTGCAAATGTGCCTAGGGAGAACATGTGAAACAGATTTCCTTGTGGCCAGACCCATGGAGGTGTCATGTCCAACACACGGACCTTTCTGAGATTAAAGGTGTTGTAATGTAAATGCTGAGGATCAGCTGGTAGAGGAAAAAAAAAAAAGCAGAGAGGCTCCTGAGAGGCCAGAGGAGAACTATCAATCACATCAGCCCCACTGCTGTCCCTGTGGCCTTGCTGCTTTCCAAGAGCTGAGGATCTGGACTTGCCAGGGCAAAGTAAAGGTGTACCGTGAAAACAGATGCTAATAGTAACTTCATTTGGCAGCTCAGGGCAGGAGCCTTATCCCTGGACATCTCCTCTATATTAATTTGATCATTTCCATATCTCCACGGGAAAAATCCTGCTCAGATACAATTGTCTCTTTGCAAGACAGTCCTGGCCAAGATGCCACAAGGTGACCATGGCAGATAACCTTCCATAAACCTGGAGACATAAAACAAGCCAATGACCTACTATATGGCCATAAATATAAATTTAACGAAGGCAGCACTTATTCATTAGGCAGAAGTCAAGAAATAACTCCCAAGTCCTTCAAAGAAAGTAGATCCGTTAATGTCACTTTCCAAATCCTCTGCCTGATGCCAAAAACTGAGGATGATTTCCCAAGTCAGCATGAAATACAAGTGCTTTAAAATTAACACCAGGAAACTTTCTTACTCCTGATATGTCTCTAGATTGAAATCCAACTTTTTAAAGGGGCTTTCAGTTAGTGTTGGGCCTGACATTTAGCTTTTGTCAGAGAATGAATGGATGGAGGTGGCAGAATGAAGCAGGTTGTTAAAAATAAATAAAATTGGCTGAAGTGATATTCTATAAAGAATCCTCCCTGAGGTGTCAGTAGCCTGACTCCAGTGTCTGTCCAAGACAAGCTGCTATATGGGTGCACCAAGGGAAATTGGTTGTAGGGGACAGAGGGCTGGAGTCCTCTGTGGTATTCAGGCGTGTAAATCAGGAGGATCTGCATGGAAGTGAGCGGGCTGATGAGGAAAAAGGATAATAGTTACATCCTGAGCCAGCCAAAGAGATCTTCAAAATGCCTTCAGTGGACTATGGGACAGCCTCCTTGTCCCAGCTCAGGTAAGAGAAAGCCAAAGCAGTCTGCTCTCTGAAACCAGAGGAGTCCAGTGCTTCTCAAAGACAAAAGCAGAGCCTGGCACACTTTTGGCTCCTATGATGCTTTGTGATTTCACTTAGGCAGAAGGAGTGATCTTACTCCTATGTGATATTCTCTCCACTCCTTTCTCCTGATTATCTGTGCATTCCATGACTGACATGTTCAGTTCCATCTACTTCACTCTGTTTTGCACAGATGCTTCCTGTACATGTCTGGAACAGCATGTTGTGAGCTGGGTGCTCAGCTCTGTGCTCTGCCCCACCTATTCATTCCTTTCACTGTCCTGGGGGTGTTCTACACCTCTCTCAGGAGCTGCAGCTTGGCCAGGGCCCCCTTTGGGAAGGTGGATGGGGGAGGAGGGCAATCAAAGAGAGGCAGTGCTGTTCAGTCATTGGGGGGGTAATAACATAATGACAGGAAAAAAAAAAATCTATGTGAAGGCCAGGATTAAAATAAATAAATAACTGAGTGGGAGGGCTCTGTTCACCTTCTCCTTAAATCCAATTTAAATCACTCTCTACAGCCCTAATCTATATCCATAATTATATCATTTCGTACAACAAGCTTGCGAGAGGTCTTAAGAAATTTATGTAGATTAAAATTCATGGGTGCCATAGTACAGATTCCATATTATTAAGATTGATTAGGACAGCTGATGCTGTGATTAAAGAAGCCAGCGCTTACTGTTGTAATTAATTAGGTATTCAGACACAACAATAACTGCAATAACAGAAAGAATGTGCTGATCTGGCAGAAAACAGAGGCTGATCCTGTGTTTTATAGTCTCGTTTTGCCATTTAGGGGTGGACACCACTCAGTTAAAGACATGCTGTCCCTCTGTCTCTTCCCCTACGCATCAAAAGAGCACAGAAATCCAGGGGTTTTGTACCCTCTGCTTCACCCTGTTAATAGGAAAAAGTCCTTTTGGTGGCATCCGCAGCTATTATATGTGCTTGTTTGGGACAACACATGGACCTTCTATAAAATGCATATAGTTCAGTCATGGAAACCAGGATTATCTTTGTTATTTTCTTAATAGTCGCACCTCCAAGCCCCAGCCCTAATCAGATTCCCTCTGAGACAGATGCTGAGTGAAAGCATGATAGG